TCTCTCTCTCTCTCTCTCTCTCTCTCTCTCTCTCTCTCTCTCTCTCTCTCTCTCTCTCTCCCCTATGTCCTCTCTCTCTCTCTCTCTCTCGTTATCTATGCGGCGAAGTAAGGAGAAATCATCTTTTTCCCCTCACGTCTCAAAGGAAGTTATATGCAAGGCACAAAGGGAACAGCAGCAAGAGGTTGACGGATATGCTATGTTATGGGTAGGAAAAAAGAACAGAATGGCGTCGTATAAGTCAACTGATTGCACACAACAATGCGTTGTCATTCCGAGCTGAAAGTTAGACAGCTGAGGTGACAGATACCGTGCTCTCCGCGACCGTTATGGGCTTCACACCCACCTTCTTCCACGAGACAGCTGGCATGATCTGCTTGTAGTCTACTCTATCCTTATACTGAAGGGTGAAGTTGAGCAAAGAATCGAGCAGCGACTGCGACATCAAATGAGGCTTGAGCCCAAGGTCGATCAGCTTCGTGTGCGTAGGATTGTAGTAATGCTCCTCTGCTTCCACTCTGGGATTGGGTACATTCTTCGTGACCACAGACAGCCCAAGTTTCTCCCCTGCCTCTGTGACAAGTCTGGCCAGATCTCTGACACTGAACAGCTCCGTAAACTGGTTGAACACTCTCATTTCTCCCTCCTTTGCCGGGGTGGCTATGGCTAGCTCCACGCACTGCACTGTGTCTCTGATGTCAAGGTACCCCCTTGTCTGACCTCCCTTCCCGTACACAGTGAGCGGATGTCCCACAGCAGCTTGCACACAGAACCTGTTCAACGCTGTTCCCCAAACGCCATCATAGTCGAAGCGATTGATCAGCATCTCATCCATAGCCGTCTCCTCCGTGCGAACTCCATAGACAACACCCTGATTAAGGTCTGTGGCGCGCAGTCCCCACGCCCTACATGCAAAGGCGATATTGTGCGAGTCGTGAACCTTACTGAGGTGGTAGAACGACCCCGCTTGCTTGGGAAAGGGCAGAACGTCTGATCGACCATTATGTTCGATCTTAATGTACCCCTCTTCGATGTCTATATTTGGGGTGCCGTACTCCCCCATGGTTCCCAGCTTGACAAGGTGGCAGGAGGGGGCAAACTCCTTGATCGCGAACATCACGTTGAGCGTGCCACAGACATTGTTTTGCTGTGTGTACACAGCACGAGAGCGGTCGATCATGGAGTAGGGAGCCGAACGCTGCTCACCGAAATGCACAACAGCATCAGGCTGAAACTTCTCAAACGCATCAGCCAAGAATTCGAAATCACAAACGTCCCCCAAGTACAAACCCAGCTGTTTCCCAGTCAGTTCTTTCCACTTGGCGACTCGCTTGTGGACAGAAGAGATAGGGGTCAGGGTATCTGTGCCCAGTTGTTCGTCAAATAGCCGACGCACCAGACTGTCAACTATAGCCACTTCGTACCCCCTATTAGATAAGTGAAGAGACGTAGCCCATCCGCAGTAGCCATCCCCGCCGATGACCATGACACGTGGCTTGTCCCCCCCGCTGTTTGATGCAGCAGCAGCAGCATGGGTGGGTGCTGTTGACTTGTCAACGGTGGCAGCAGCCAATACGATACACACGTGCCTGCTCCTCCTCCAGGGGTTTCCCCCTTTCCCCTTCTTTCCCGCCGCCATTGCCAGTGCTCTCCAGACCGTCCCTTCAGACAAAATCGAAGATGAAGAAGAAGAGGAGGATGACAGTGAAACCGCCCTGTGCTTGCTGCTGCAGGTGGAGAAGAGTTCGTTGCTATCCCTTCTACTACTGCATCTCCCTCCCAGGGGGCTGCCGGCAGCAGACCACGAGCAGAATGCCCGCCTTTGACGCCAGCTCCTTCCTCTTCCGTTGGCCGGCTGCAAAAGCGACGCTTGACATGTTGCTGCTCCCAAACCAGCACTGCTGGTTGCTGCTGCTGCTGCCATAGCAGCCATCTTTCTTCTCCCTCAGTCAAGTGTTTAGTTGACGGCTGCCAGTACAATCGAGTGGCACTGCAAGGTTCAATTCCATACAGACAGGACACACAGCGAGGAGAAATGTGAGATAGCCTTCACTTCGCTTTCCACACACTTGGCAAGGTGGCACAAAAGCAATCAATCACTGTGGCCAGCCACGTCAATGCCTGGGAAATGGTAGATGTCGTGTCACAACCACGTGGCAACAAATCGAAGGACGCCAATGTCACAGCCATGTGGCGATTGAAGGGTGCCACGTCACAGGCATGTCGCAACAAATGTAAGGATGCCACGTCACTGCAACGTGGCAACAAACAGAAGGATGGGGACAAAGTTGGACAAACTGAAGGATGCCACGTCACAGCCACGTGGCGATTGAAGGATGCCACGTCACAGCCACGAGGCAACGAGTAGAAGGATGTCACGTCACCATCACGTCTGTCGAATCGAACGATGTCACGTCACATCAATGTGGCAAAGAACACCGTCACAGCGACGTGGCGACAAATAGCCCACGGGCTGCAAAGGAGAAGAGGCACAGCAATATACTCTGTTAGAAAAGACAAAAAAAAAGGAATGTTGTCTGGTCAGATCAGCTTCACTCGGTGCATTTAGAATAATACAGTGTGTGATGAGTAAAAGATTGATCCTTTTATTTTATTTTTTTTCTCCTTTTTTCAAAGATTGGTCCTATTTCATTTCTTTTAAAAAAACGGAAGATCATTTCTGCCCCTTTGTTTTTCATATCATCACATGTCTCGCTCCCACAACCCATCCGCATGACAAACAAGCATTTTTAAAAGCGCGATGACCTTCAGATATCATCTTGAAGCTGACCAGCCCCAGGTAAATTGTGATTTATTTTCAATTTTTTACTCATCAGATTCAAACTCAGGCGATGCACATCCTAAGGGTACACTCTGAGAGCTCTTCGAGAACTGCGTGCCGTGCCCTGTCGTGGACGCGCATACGCGCGGGCACTACCAGGAAGAAGGGGTGGAGGGGAGTGGGCAGTTATGGCGGGGGTAGTTGAATGGCATCACCGGCCGCCGAATCTGAAGAACCCTGTGGTTTTCTTTGACGTCAAGATCGGCAGGGTATCCCCAGGAAGGATAAAGATGGAGCTGTTTGCTGACATAGTTCCCAAGACGGCTGAAAACTTCAGGCAATTTTGCACTGGGAAGTTCAGGAAAGGAGGCATACCTCAAGGATACAAAGATTGCGCATTTCACCGGGTGATCAAGGACTTCATGATTCAGGGCGGAGACTTTGTGAAGGGCGATGGGAGCGGTTGCGTAAATATCTATGGGAGCAAGTTTGATGATGAGAACTTCATCGGCAAACACACAGGACCTGGAGTACTCTCAATGGCGAATAGTGGTCCAAACACGAATGGCTGCCAGTTTTTCATTACGTGTCAGAAGACAGACTGGCTGGATGGAAAGCACGTTGTGTTCGGGGTTGGAAACACGCGAGCGCGATGTGGCAGCTGGGTATGACGTGGGCAGTTTTGGCATGACGGCGCCTTGGTGATGGGGTAGTGATGAAGTAGAGATCGGACAGCGGGAGGGCAGGAGGATGGAGCGTGACTCGGTGTTGCCTGCCTTTTGAAAGCACTTCGGTGCCATCTCCAGCTTTGCGCTTCATCCAGTGGTGTTACAGGTTAGCACGTTGGGTGAAGGGGAACTTGCCTTCGAGAGGAGGTGGGTCTCCTTGAGAAGTTCAGCCTTCTTGCTCCTTGGTCTGCGTAGTGTTGTGGTAGGCGGTTGGTATGACACGGACGGAAAGGAGGAGCGCGTGCTTACGTGGAGCGAGAGGAGGATTGGAGGCGATATCGAGTGCGTTGATTTCGGTTTTTGTATACATCTCTGTCATCTGCGGCACTCTCGCTGATCACCACCAGCACCAGCATCGGTGTCATCATCATTAGGGTGCTGCTCGTCACCATCATCATCAACAGGGCGTGATTTGACATCAACATCACGGTAATGGTTTGTCATCATCATCAGGGCGCTGCTCGTCATCACCATCATCAACATCAGGGTACTGCTCGTCATCATCATCAAGGCGTATGTCTTCACTCCTGTTCGGCGCTAATATCATCACTATTATCAAGGAGCCGTGCATCAGGGGTGCTGCTCGTCACTCATTGTTGTATCACCATCGTCAAATATCTCTCCATCATACGGCACGGTTGGCAAAGCTTGACGTCATCATAGGGCGTTGATCATCATCATCATCATCATCATCATCATCATCATCTTTAGGTTATCATCCAAGGTGCTCGTCATCACACCATCATCATCTTGTAGTCATCATAGGGCGCTGTGCGTCATCATCATCATCATCATCATCATCATCATCTTTAGGTTATCATCCAAGGTGCTCGTCATCACACCATCATCATCTTGTAGTCATCGTAGGGCGCTGTGCGTCATCATCTTCATCTTCATCTTCATCATCATCATCATCATCATCATCATCATTACTGACATCATTACTGACATCACAATCATCATCATCATCAGTGCGTCATCATCATCATCTTCATCATCATCATCATCATCATCATCATCATCATCATCATCATCAGTTTGTAATCATAGGGGCTGTTGGTGCTGCTCTTTGGTATGATCCGCATCATCATTCCGTTTTCATTCTCATCATTCTCATCATCATCATCAGCTTGTTTTCATTAGATGTTGTTCTGCATCAGCAGGTGAGTTGGTTGTCACCATCATTCTCATTATCATCGTCTTCAGGGTGCTGTCCATCGTCATCAACAAAATCCAACAAAATCCAAGTGAATGATATTTTGGTAAGCGTGTCATCAATAACTGTAGTCGGCTGGATCGGATTGTTCCCGGAGGGCTGAAAAGTGGGAAGGGGGTGGGGGGAGCTCTATCCTGCAGGGGCATCGCAAGGTGGGGGGTGAATGTCTCAAAGAGGGTAGGGGCGGAGTAGGGGGTTGCCTTATTCTGGGGCAGGGACTGTGTGTAGGTCAACATCAGTCCCTGCGGAGGCGGAAACGGGCAAGGGGCGGGGGGGCATAATTTAGGTGGGAACTGCGTGCTCCTGGGGAAAGGGGGGGAGAGGATTGGTCCTATATTGGGGCCAAGGGAGAGTGGGTGACTCTCCTCGGCGGAGGCAGTGTAGGGCTGAGGGGGAAGGGGTAGGGGGAGGGAGGGGCAATCTCTCTCGAAGAAATCTATCATCCAGTTTACTATAGCTTTCCATTTGGTTGCTTCTCGAGGAGGTTGTAGGAATAGGTGTTATCTGGCAAGCCATTTGTGATCCTGCGAGGGGTGGTTGAAAAGTCGGTGGCCCTCGAAGACCGACGCTGGAGCAACGCTGGCCGGAGCCGGAGCCAGGTGGCGCAACTCTGTGACCTAGCTTAGTGGGGCGTGAGGCCTGGTAGAGAGCTCTGGGGGGCTGTTTGCGGGGGCAGTCCCAGTGGTCATCGGGGATCGTAACTGGAGCAATGCTGGCCGGTGCTGGAGCAAGGTGGTGCAACTCTGTAACCTAACCTGATGCGAGCATGAGGCCTGGAAGAGCTTCGGTTCGTGCTGAAATTAGCCATGCTGGTGATGGTCGTAGGTGGATTGAATAGGTTTCACCTATCGGATTTGTGATGGGGAGGCTTTTTGACACACATATTCTATTGACTTGGTAGAGTCTGAATGAAAAAAAAAAGCCGGTTGTCCTTATGAATGTCTTAGGACTTTAGGGTTTCTTAGCAATCCATCTTAGGCGGTTTCGATGCTGTTATACTCACTGATCTGTGGCCGTTCGATGCCAGAACGACGCTGGTCGGTGCTGGGGTGTTGCCCTGTAACCTGCTGATGCAGGGGCGTGAGGCCTGGTCGAGAGATCTGGGGATGCTTTGGGGTGGGCATCCCAAGGGACGACAAGGGTTGCTGCTGGGATGACGCTGGTCGGAGCTGGGGCGAGTTGTGTTGCCCTGGCATGAGGCCTGGAAGAGCTCAGTAGGGAATAAGACGGTGTTGGGAAGTCTTAGAAGGGTTTGTCAGGGAACCTGAGGGTAGTGAGCATTCGTAGGACCTTTGTGGCAGGTTATTGCATGAGTAATTCCCTAATAGGTTATTAGATACTCAGGATCCTCCCCATGTTTCTGAATCTCATCGTGTTCACAGATTGTTCTCAGCCGGGTAATGGCCCCTGTATCTCAAATGACCTCAAACGACCTCAAATGTTCTAAATGATCTGTATAATTCGATATGGGACGCTGGGCCCGGTTTCCAGCACGTGGTGCTCCCCACGAATAGACTGGAGCATTTGTTCAAAAAAAAAAAAAAAAAAAAAAAAAAGATTCCAACTCGGGGCTGCATTTCAGCAGTTCGTAGGTGTATCAACTGGGCTAGGCCAGTTTGTGGCCTGATAAACAAGCTAATTTTTTATCCGTCGCATGACAAACAAGCTAAAATTTCATCCGTCAAGTTCTTTTTGTTTTTTTTGGTAATCCATATACATGAAAGGGTTTCACCCAGTTCGCAGGACAATTGCAGATCCCTGGGCTCGATCCCTAGACCTATCCCTGAACCTCTGTACAACCCGTTGACCCTGTGTGCCTTGAACCTGCAACCTGTCCCTTAACTCGTGTACAAATGTTTTATGTATGTAGTCTGGGTCGCGTGGACTGGAACTGTAGACCATAATGTTAGCAGTCCTAGGGTCAGTCCGTAGGTTAGCCCTAAGCGTTGCGAAGGGTCAGTCAAACATAGCCTAGGAAGTTCTAGAAGTTGCTACTTGGCTCTTCGGAGCTGTAGGAGTCCAGCGTCCGTAGCTGAGTCAGCAAGGGAGAGTCCTGTCCCAGTCTCAGTCCCAGTCCACCTTGTCTAGTCAGCAAGTACCAGGTGGGGCTGCACACTCCTTGGGCCTGGGACTGAAGGCAGGCCAGACCACTGACAAAACAGTTTAAATAAGGAGGCAGCGCCAAGCCATTCATTCATTCCTGCGAGCCATGCAGAAGCGCTGCTGATGCGATTTAAATTGGAGGTCTGCAGGTGCCCAACAAA